TTTTTTTTTATATTTTAGAGTAAATGCTTCTGATATGCTCTTAGGTTGCTTAATATCCGTCTGAAATTCTGGACTGTGGTCACATTTTTCGATTAGGAGTCGTATATTTAAATTACTCACTGTGACTAGTGTTTTGCATTATGAAGTATATTGTTATGAAGGTCAACACACTGCAATTTAGGTAAATATTTACCATTTCGTTATTTCATTATTTCGCTTTCCAGCATTTACGGGAAACGCTTCATTCTAAAAAATGCTAAACGGTTGCAAAACGGTTGGAAATAATAAATGTAACAGCAGAATACGTCCTAGCACAGTCACTCTACTAGGAGAGAGTAACTCTGGTCCTAGTACTAAACTAAGTGACTTCTAAAGACTGAATGGTGTTTGCGAACTTCGTATTAGTTATAAACCGACGTCAGCTTCACGTTTATGTCACCATGGAAACAGCCAAAAAACATGTTGCTTGTTTTTGAGCGGAGCGGATCGCCAACCAGCCTACCGGCTTGTCCGTACTATCAACAAGACTCTGCGAGAGAACCACATCCACGTTTTCAACCATTTTTAGTGCGGAAGTTGCCAGCAAATGTTGAAAGACTCGTGAATTTGATGGATTCGAATAAAATAAAGCTAGCGATTGCTAAGAATAATTATTAATATATTCCCCGATGCTCTTCGAATTTTTACTTTTTTGATTTCAGGGTAAGAAATGGCTCATTGAAGTTCCATCAACTTCAAGGCGGCTGTTTCACCGGACTGAACAACTCTAGCTCTGTTGTAGTTTCGCGATGTGAAATAAAATATATATAATAATAATACTTGTTTAATTATTTGAGTTCTCAGCCCACAAGTTGCGGGACTTGATCCCCACGAATTACGGACAATGTTGTTCTATCTAGGCTGATTGTGTTGAATGCCTGATGTCGAGACCGACGCCCGTCCTAAACTCAGTATGGAGAAACCAAAGGGGATCGATATTCCAAACAAATTATTGGGACACGGTCGACAGACATTCCAAACAATCGAAATTAATATTAAGTGACGAAAGACGAGATTTTTCTAGATATTTACAAATATACTGTCATGACAAACATACTAGTATGTACAATTAACAAATGCACAAAGAGGTGTAATATTAGATTTTATTTTAGGCTTAGAAATATTTTCTTTCACTCAGTCCATACTTGGAACTGCCATTTAGCTTCAGCTTCATGGTCCTTCAGCTTGTCTTCGCCTTGGGGGAAAACAACAATACTTATACAAACTGTAAACACATTGCGAAGACTCATGATCAACAATCAGTAAAGAAAACCCCGTTAACCATGTCGTACTTGTGTTGAAATATATTTCACTCTAGAATATTGTTTAAAATAAAATATTCAATCCCAGCCAAATCGAGGTCAAAGGGTTAGACTGTGTGCCTATAATTATAGATAGTTAAAACAAAAAGTATTTGAACTTTTGTCGGCTGTTCAACATCTATGAAAACCAGAAAGACAATTATAAGACAATATAAACCTCGGAAATTTTTAGTTCGAATTTTAAATGCGCGCCAGCGAGCGGGCGGTGATATTTCCGGGTTTGCGCGGTCGAAAATAAAGCGGAAAATGTCCAGTCGAGTTCACCAAGCGGTCGCAAAAGCGAGCGAACAAAAAAGTTGGACGAAATGAGTACTGTACGTTGGATAGATTGATGAGGTCGTAACGTAAGTACATACACAGGCTGGGCTGGCTTCAATATGGCCCCATCGTGGGGAAATTTTTGGTCACGTGATAGGGTGGCGCCGCCAGCGGCCGTTTATCTCGAAAGTGGGATATTGCACGTGCCAATACCAATACTACTTTACATGAACTACCGTATACATGCAGCCGTGCCTATAGTGATTATTTGGTTGTTATGTTTTGTTGACAGTACCACGAAGCGTTGACGAATGTGGTGGCATGTATACTACTAATTACGGTCAATTCACATCCCCGAATTACTCTATGGTATACCCGAATAATGTTAAATGTAAATATACTATATCTGTGACGTCCGGCTGGTTAATATGGGTAAGTGCAGAGTTAAACACTTAGTATTGACAATGAAATGATAATGTCAATCTTAACGTCGTTCAAGTTGGTAACGATTTGTGAGCTGTTTAAATGTCATCGGTTGAGCAACAAACATAATAATATAGTATAGCAAATCGATGGAGGTACTAATTCATTATTCGTGGTAAAGTGTGTTAATATGCAATAAAAAAGTTCAAACTGTCAGAGTTATCGTCGTTTACCTCAAATTCGGTTTAAATTGGCAAAACGTAGTCGAGTCATGAGGTAGAATCAAACAGATTAAACAAACTGATTTATCTAGTAAACTTGGGTTTCTCGCTGAGTATTATAGCCAAGCATAGACCTTAAAAGACATATGTCTTTTAAGGTCTCTGAGCCAAGTGAACTGAACTGTTTCTAATTCTAGTCACGCACTGCGTCACACGTAAACACACGATGATACAATAGAAGTGTTGTAGTCGTTTGCAATTTCATGTACATGCATTATCGCAAAAACTATTGGAATACTGAATTATATGCCTGGTTATAGTTATACCAGAAATGTGTCATTGTATATAATATGATTTGTCATTTTCACTGACGTGAATTCGGAGAAAGTGAAAATGACTAAAACTCCATAACACAATGCGCTAATACTATAATAATGCTTCTAGTAAAATTGCTCATTCATTACGTGGAGCTGCTTACTTATGACAAAACATTTTAATGTACAATCTAACGGCGTGAAAAACGATGACCACATATGCCGACATTCAGGCTTTTCTCGTCTCACTGCACACCGCATCATCGCCGTACATGTATGTGTATATTTAATGTTTATGTGTCATTTTGAAATTGGACTAATTTAGGCGTACCTTACCGATAAATGTCGGACGCAAGATGATACCATATCCCGATCAGGATCAACAGTTCCTTACAACCATAATATCGGCCATATAGCTCTGTGTTGGCAATCTGAATTTTAAGATCATACTGCAAATCATTTCTGACAATGCAATTTCTTTCAAATTAATGGGAAACCGACATCCGTCTAATTATGCACGTTTCGAAACGCTCGTCGCTGAATTTAATTTCGACGCGTATAGTTATTTATAGAACGTTCATTATCTATTTGTCACTTTCAGTATATGTAAAATAAAATTACAAAACATAGACAGGTTACTCATATTAATTGAATGATTAATTGAATGTGCATTAATTAATTTTATTTTTGCCGCAGGCATTTTTCAGAACATTTTAGTAGCGAACCACGTTTCAACATATTCCCAAAGTTAATGATCCATCGCATGAAATAGGAAAGCACTATTTGTCTTTTGTCTTCAACTATAAATTATTTGATCTGATGGCCCATCAGTTTGATTTGACATTCGGCGATATAACACACTAGCAAATCAAACCCCAGGGGGCGAATACTAAATGCGTTATGCCTTGGTATTACCCCGACCCAGTTTCGATCTTATCTCTGATGAAATCGCACTCGCTGTTAAAGTAGGAGGTTTTACTCCCTAAACCAACAACTCTCAACTGAAAGCCGACACATCTTGAGCGACGTGAGTCGTCATTGCAAAAACAGTGCGATGACACATCAAGCATTTTTACAAACACACCAGACACGGGGGTTGTCTGTATTAGTTTCACGCGATGTTTTTTTATCCATTTTAGTAATAATTATGTACTCCAACTCTGAAATCCAAGTCCATGCTAGAATATGCAGATTAAATATGCCGCATCATAATAAGGTCAAGAGCGATAAAACACAAATTTTAAATTTTAATTTTAATTTCCGGATTATAATCGTGATATCCGCACCTAATTGTATTATATTCACATTTCATATTTATTCATTACCAAACACTATTTCCCACTGAATAGGCTATTGAATACGTTTTAGAAGCCATTTATGATTTCATTTAGTGAAATTTAGATCAATGGTAGAAGGAAATATTACCAATAATTTCCGGAATGAATTAATTCTTCGTATTTTGTTACAGCTACAATTTGTGACTATGGACATGGAACAATCGTCAGACTGCTACGCGGATAGCCTCCGGATATACAAAGGTAAAAGCGACGCAACCGAGCCGCTTCATAATCTGTGCGGATTAAACCTCAGCTTGCCGGCCATAAAAGTGAACTCATCGGACGTGTACATTGTTTTCAAGTCGGACTCAGTCGGAAGTGGACGGGGATTCAAAGTGGAGTACTTCGCGTTTGACGAGTCAGGGGCTCATCAGAGGGATTCTTATACAAGTAAGTAATACAATGGCTTGCTTATTGTACCCTATTATTGGATATTTAAATAAATAACCCGGATTGCCTCACTGGAACGCAAATTTTTGAATACAATATGTTTCTGATTAGGTAAATATTCTTTAATACTAAACTAAACACGTATCATCGCGTATCATCAGATGGAACGCAATATTCCCTATAAATGTTATCAATTAATTGTACATAACTTTTGAAATATGTATGTATTTTGTGTAACAGTTTTCGTATATTACGCTAATTGTTGATGTGTTTAAGCTACGCGCATGAATGAACCAATCAAATTTTGTTTTGTTTAGTGTTTGTGTGATGTTAACAAGCACTGTGAATAAAAGAACCGACCGAAACTAGACCAAGACACGCGATCGAACAGGACAAATTAATTGCAGGCTAAAAAGACATTTGTTTCGTTTACCTAGCTGCTTATCAGAAACAACTAGAAAACATTTGTTAAAGCATTCATGGGTCACGGGTGGGCAATGGGGTCATTAATCTAACGAAATAGGGCTATGTGAGCTAGACTGAGTCGGCAACGCAGTGCGCCAGAATATTCTGTGTCTATCACTCAAGGCAATGTGTAATAGTGCACGGCTCCTTGAATTGAGTAATCAGAAATTGAACATGTAATTCTCAGAGCTGGGAATTCCATCTGCCATAGAAGAGAATTAGATACCTAAATGGGCATACAATTCGTGTTTATGTTCGATCCAGCTCCCAGTGAACGAGTACTGTGTTTATGAATAGATTGGAATGTCTTCTTACCAAAAATAGAACAGTCAATATATTAAAAAAAAAAGGTTTTAACGTGTATCGAACCAAATAGTAAGAGTGGAATAATCGAAATTGTCAATAAATAAGCCAATTTCCATTTACACGCGAAAATATTAGAAATCTTAACCTCAACCAATCGCTTCCGTTTTAAACGTTATTTTTATATCGCTCTCTCGTAGGTTTGGAATCCAGATAGATATTATTGGTCCACTGCTAATTGGAAAGCTTCTAAAAATATGCCTGACGTAAATCTATCTAATGTGCCTAAAAGCTGCGCTGTAAAATATAAGGATAGAGTCAGAAGGTTAATGTATTGCTTTGACGATGATGCAAACGTGACATTGATTTGTAGTTAGCCAGTAAAGTTGGGTATTATTGAAAAATACGTGATAACTCGAACCAAAATTGAATATGACGCTTACAAACAAATAGACCAGTACTGCCCAGCACCAAATCTTCCTCAGTTGAATGTGATAAGACATAAAAAATGATTCTAACTTTGCTCAGCAAATCAATTGAATGAAGGATATAAATTGTTGTATAATATGAGACAGATTGACACACTGCTCGGAATTAGTTTGCCTTGCAACATAACAATTATTGGTAGAATGTAACGGGGATCGCGTTGTACTAGCGAAACTTTTGTCGTAACTACGCAACCAGGTCTTCCTATACCCCAGAGTTGTAAACAAATTATCTAATTCTGATTCGAATTCATCAGTATTTTTCTGAAATCACCAACAAAATCATTGTTAAAGAGATCATTATTTCAATTTCAATTAAACATATCAGCTCAATGTGTTTTCCACGCCGATAAGATGGATTTTGATGACTGACTTTGTTCGACCGAACAGTTGGATTTCCAAAAGGGCTGAATGTGGAAGAAAGGAGATTGTCTAAAAGCGAGAACTATGAGAACGATCTGCCATGTGCTACAGCTTTGCGGAACGTCTCTAAGATATACTGTGATAACATATCTTCACCTAACATGGCCTCTGTGGATCCCGGCTTTGACATTCCAAGTCTTTAATATATTATACGCGTTGTTAGATCAAACAATGTACGGGAAAACCACTAAACCACATTATAATATTTGAATCAATCAAACGACACGTTAGCCTAAAAGCCCACTTATGTTAGTGGTTAATAAAATAGTGGTTAATAAAATAAAATAAAAAATGAAAACGAAATACACGTTTTATAGCTGGTTTATGTTCAAATAAAAACCTGCTTGAAGTAAACAAATAATACATTGTACTGAAATGCAATTATAATGTCATTATATGAGATGCATCGTATTATAATTCAATGAATTAGGCGAGGCTGTTATCGCGGCGGATATGCATCATACAGACCGACATCCGTTATACATTTGTGTCTTGCTTGCAACAGTAGCATATAAAGGTCATATTCTGAGTTTCACCTTTAACCTAAGCCTAAGAACATTCATGATTAAAGTCATTAAGCTGAATGTGTATTATTATGTTGAACGCGAAGCACTACATTTTTACAGAGTAAGAATTGATTCGCAAAATATATGTGACACAAAAACGATTGTCACGGATCCGATCTGAGAATTATGAAGATGTGTTTATTCTCCTTTTACATATCAAGTTGGTAATTCCAAACACGTACTACACAGACTTGCAGTCGTGATGGGCCACTGTACCATCGTTGAGTGTAATTACTCGTTGGTTATGTTTCTTGTTTTGAAATGATCCCCAAACATCTCGCAGCACAAGACTCCAATGTGTTTAGCCACATATTAGATCTGCCTGACCACTGAAATCAAACATATATTTCGTGTTCTCAGGGTGATGTGGCCGTAAACCAGTAGCACATAAGAAATACGTAATCTAGGGTATATTATAAGTAGGAAATGATATGAACGTTAGAATCAGTCATCATTATATAATTGTCAGTTATATGACTGCCGGCGCTATTGAGTTAATTATCTCCTTATGAAATTGTAATAGCCACCCGGATCAACGGATCCAGGATAACAGTGGAAATTGTAATGGTATTTAATATAAAGTGTTTAACCTATTACATGGTCCGTTCCCGGTCGTGTATATTATTCAGTCTCTTATGCATAATGTACCTCATGGGGGCTCTTCTTACTAATTTAAATGTCAGTTAATATCACAGTTGTCATTCACCACCACTTTGAATCTGACGCCATCTTTTCCTTTTTTCATCCGCAGTGTGTCAAGACAACGTTGCCATGGCACCGAGTGGCGTTCTCCTGTCTCATCAAGGTTTCCCGGGCAACAACTATGCGGAACACGCCGTGTGCAAATTGATAATTCCAACTAGTGGTAAATACGACGGCGTCAAGATTGAGTTTTTCGACGTCTATCTGAAAGTGTTTTCCGGTAATTATCAACGTTGTTTGCTAGTGTCAATCTAACTACTATGTCATAGTAATTAAATAAATCTGCCTTCATCAATCACACTCGCTTTCGATGTAACAATTGAGAGTGAATTTAACTCGACGAAAAATATCGTATTCGGCGTGTGACCCCTTAATTCCCTACGACGTCGTCCGTTTTATCGTAAGAGATAACAAATCGACTGATCCATCATTATCATCGCGATCGATTCGCCTGGTGTTGTTTACCAGTTCAACTGCTGTGACGTCAATTACACGATACATCCCATCAGCATGAAGAGTACTGTAATTCGCACATCACGTGGTCCATACACTAAACATCTTATATATTCCGGGTACGGTCATTGAATTAATTCTAATTTAATCGCAATCCCGTACATTGTGATGAGTATACGCCAATTGCTCTATACGATGCGATTAAATGTAAACCAGTAAATAGATAACATTTTGATAATGAAGCATGAATGAACGGAAAACACAGACATTTAGTAAATCATTTCCAATAATGTTTCACAAACGTGTTCTAAGAAAAAACCAAACATTAACCTGTCATTTGAATATTCCACAGTATAGATGAAGAAACTGTGGTATTGATGGTTAATATTTATGAATTATTCGAAGTTAAATCGGATATTGTTTTGTCGAGCGCGAAGCTTACTTCGACTAGCATTATCGCTGCTGTGTCGTTAATTAATAATACGGCAAAACACGAGAGAAAGTGGAACACTATACAAATAAGAAATACGAGAGCTACAGCCGCGAACAGTGAAGATTCTATCACGTCTACCCAATGTTGTTACGGAAAAAGTTAATATCTTAATATCAGTGTCAAACGTACCAATTGGACGATTTGATGTCTCAAAGCCGACGAGAGGAAAATAAATAATTTCGAGGGTTCCATTCCATGCACATTATACACTGTGTTTATAACATGGAGACTGGTAGCTTCAATTTTAGATTATAATATTTGGTTAAAACAAGTATAACATCAATATCGATGCCGATAATAGATCACATATGCATAAAAAACATAAATGCAGTCTAAAATAGCAAGTTGTTCCCAAACAATAACGTTGAAGTCAAATGTTAACACTTAATTCATATATAATACATGTATTACTGGGATGAATCGACTACCGCATATTACATTTTCTAAAATAATCGGAACACGCATACACCACAGAAACATACACGGTGGTACCTACAGATCGCTTGACGACAAACAGATCATATGCGACAAGTATAAATACTGTATATGATGTAATAAATGGGTAATCATGTTGCCCGAATCAACCTATAGTGGAATGACCTATTTCTAATTCATCGCATTGCTTCGTATTGTACACAAAACTTCTAAGCCATATGCGCCATCCTACTGACACATGGCGTTGGTAGGTACCGGTCTGACCTCTAATCTCCACATGCTATTTCTATTAGGAAATGTAAACTTAGAACACATATATAGGATAGATTGTCTATGCCAGTTGCATTGGTGAAGACATTCTTTCTAAACTTAGGAAAATATTGATGTTGTACGTATCTGTTTTTCCCAAAGTGCCGAAAACGTGTTATTACCAGCATGTGATGGGAAAAATATATCACTTGCTTTGTGGTGGTAATTTGGAAACTGATAAATTCAAACAGACACACAAAAATATAACTATTCATATGCCTACACACAATGTCAAACTACTTTTACCAACATGATAATGCAGACATTTTTGTTTCTAAATTCTATCAATTGGTTTTTATTTTCAATACCTTAGTTTGACGTAGTTAATTCGACTCTCAATACCTGATTGCTCCTGTAAAAATAGGAAAACATTAAATATGAATGTTATTAATGGTCGGTTTATGTGTTTCATACACGATAATGGTTACACCAACATTTAGAAATATGTGTGTGTACATTTTATTTCCCTGGCATATTGTCTGTACCTGTTATCAGTGTTAGCTCATGGAGGAGGCTCACACTCGCAGATTGTAACATTTGTATTACTTGGCTTTAAAAGCTGTTTTCATGAAGTCCACGCGCTTAGGGATTTTGATGACTTCATCCTCAGGTTCTACTTATGTTTGCCACGAGCGATGGATTATTGTAATGTGTTTTTTAATTTTATCGCATTCTGTGGACATATTGAATGTGCTATTTATATTTGATCCAGTATTATATTCGTGTTTTGAACTACACGGAGCATGCGCGACTTTTATATCTGATGAGTACTACAAAGACTAATGCACATGTTGTTTGTAACTATGAATTACAGCCGGAACTTGCCAAGAAGAGAGCGAAACAATTGTAGTATACAAGATGTATCATCGAGAACATCTGGAGATATGTCGCAATGAATGGAGGAAGGTATCTGTCATGGTACCTGGAGACGACAATTTTCCAGTCTTGCTCACTTTCCATACAAGCCAACATCGACTTGCTCCGTACCGAGGATTTAAAGCCATATATACTCAGTATTATGCCGACACTAAATATATGTGTAAGTTATTTACGTGTTACAAATTAATATGCTCGTGAATTTCTGCGCATGTCACGTACTATCTTGCGGCGGTCGTAATTTATATAAATAACTATATGCAAAAACTATGTTCGATTCATGGATAATTTTCTGCTGAAAAACATATACAATGTCAAAAGGGACAACAAAATTAGAAACACCCGTGACCGTCACACGCAATCAAAATTCTACGAAATTGATTATTGCAGTTCCAAGACGCAAAGAACCAAACAAACGACAAACGACTGACATGCATTATTACAATACAGATTCAACAGTTCTTTTCCAGACCGCATTTAATTGTTAATCATAATTCACATTTTAATACACCAAAATGCGAAAAAATGATAATCTCATTTATTTTCTGTATTAATATATATTCTTTATTTTATTCACTAAATGCACACACCGTTGCTTTAATAGTCGACGGCACGATTTGCATCTCAGTAATACCACAAATAATTACAATTGTGCATTTAGATCACGTGCTCAAGTGGGTTCATTAATAAGTTACGATGTCACGTAGCCTTATAATATGACGTCGCTGTCTTTAGGCAAACATCTGTAATTCTATAATACGATTTTGCGATTAAATTTAATTCCGCCATTATTGCAGTTGAAAAATATCATCGACATTCATTATTGCATTACAGTATTGTTAGGAATTTAATATAATTGTAGAAATACAAGCAAAATGAGAACGAATATTATTAAATTACAAAATAATTCCACAATTTTCAAAATTAATCAGGATATAGCAGCAGTGGTGTTTTAGCGGGAAACAAATTAGTGGTAAATAAACGATTGGAAGCGAAATTTCTCTTTTGATAGTAAAAATGCGCGATGCATGGTCACCATAGCAACACATTTGTTCGTTTTCATACAATGAAAAATTTAAAAGTCGTAAGACTATAACTAGTTAAAAGAACCAAGTAAAATAACTAAATACGTTTATTGCTCGCGATTTCCCCCAGAATTTATGTTTACTATGCACCTATAGATATATACATTCTGGATTCTGATTTATAGTGAGAACGTTGTTAATGCAACATATACAACAGCTCCCCTATTTATTGTGGGGTTAACATACCCATATCGCCTCTTTAATTAGTACTGAGTACATTCGCTTATTTGCGATACGTGACAAGAATCGCTGTTATTATTCATGGTATCGTTACAGGTTGTTTCATCACGGTATACGACAGTTGGCCTTGGCAACGCAATACTACTTTTGGTCATAACAGGCATAAACTAGTGTGGTCTGTGTCGCGATTCAAACAATAGCTTTCAAATTTGACGAATTCCATTTATTAGTATATTGTTATACACGAGCTACGATTTACTATTCTCTGTTGTAAACTAAGTATTATACAGTTTTGTCAACGGATAACAAACAAACATTCGAGATTGACATTTCTCATAGTTGATGTTAGTCTTGTGAGTTATCTTTTTACAGTCGTCCATAAAAATTCAGTTACTGTAGTAAATATATATGTAGAAGGTAATGCTACCTGTTGAAGACGAAATAAAAAGAAAATCTTTCTAGCATATGATGATGTATCTGAAATTGCATGAACCATCAGTATATAATAATCACACTGGGAAAGTTGACAGTCAATACTAAAATCAATGTACCAATCAATTCCTACCGACTGTCGATCACGTGATGAACTATCTTATGATCCCATTTAATTGGTGACTAATTTATTCTATGTTGCTAACTTCGCTCAGATAGATACAGTTCCCAGTCTCTCCAGTTAACAGCAGAGATTTGTTGCTTTGTTGCTACAAATTGCAATTTATGTCTAGTGAATATAATGTATCGCCAGAAAATCGAGGTTGAATAACAGCGTGACGGTTGTCTAGGTAATAGTTCATTTCCAAGTTATGCATAAAATAATAAAAAAGTAACACATACATAAATCCATGCGTTTTACAAACGTTTAGCTTATTACATTACACGATTGGTTGATGAAAACAATCCAAGGGAAGTTATTAGAATAGCCATAGATACAATTACGATAGATAAACCAATGTCCATTTCTCACTCGAATAAGTAAAAGTAGGTATTGTATATATATTTGTCAATATTTGTTTTACGTTTCATTACGATTACCATACTTTGGAGGAACAGTGATTTTGTTGTATTCTTCAAGCAGCAGATTTATCATTTGAAAATAAATTAAAATAACTACTAAATCTCCGTCAAAGGAAATCACTTATTAGGCTTCCTCTGTACACATATTTTGACAAGAAATGTGTTCGTAACTTGCGAAACAAATTCAAAGAGCTGTATTTTGTAATGTGCGATATCGTGTTCGTGTTGCGCTGTAACATGCCCTATTTATTCTGCAATTGTATGCTTTAACTAAAAATTCTGAAACTTATTCCTGAAATGAACTCATGGTATTACAATTTATCGAAGTGATGGTTACTGTAAATCAGTCACATACTTGATCACTCATCCACTCTCTTACCCACTCACCGACTCACTCACTCACCCAATCACTCAATCACCACTCACCCACACACTCACTAGCAATATATGGTAACAATTATTCATATCATCGATAAATAACTGTAACAGCAGTGCCCCCGCAAACTAGGTAAAATTAATTGTTTATGTAATATATTATGATGACTTTTTTCTTTTAAATTTTCAGGGGAAGGAAGCGTGGGCTGCAAACATGGCGATTTCCACTGCAGGAACAGCCAAATATGCATTCCCGAATCCCTAGTGTGTGATGGTTATAACCATTGCGGTGATTTCCAGGATGAACGTAACTGTGGTAACGGTTAGTGCTATAAGGATTTTGTTAAATTTTTAGTGGCGAAAACCGCTCTTTCTGTTCTATCAATCATATCATTTTGGCGACAGCCTCAG